GGCATCAGTGTGCACAGTATTTGCGTCCGGGACTCCAGAAACCTTTTTAAATATTTAACCATTGACTTGGTTAAACACTTGGTGGGGGGCTGGAATAGTCAAAAGAGGGAAACAAACATATCTGCTGAATCGACAAAAAAATAGCCAATGAATAACATACGAAATAGCCGTATGTTAGACAAAGGTTCTGCACAATTAATATGAAATGACCCATACATCGCTTTTAATAGTTTAAAAAATGTTAAAGAGAAAGAAAAGCCAAAACAGGAAAAAAGGAGAACGTTTGCAAAAACTTTGGTCAACGTTAGTATCGAGACTTATTTTTAAACGTATTAAGTTAGCACAAAAATGGCTACAATGTATCTAAAAATAATAAAATAATAAAACAGATTTAAAATAGCAAAAAACAAAACTAGCTCATTGTTAGCCAGCCAGAGTTGTAGCCCAGTACAGTCACATTTACACTTTTGGCCAACTGTAGAGTTTGGAACAATTTTATTTTGCATATGTTTGAAAACAGAGAGGACGCTGGGCTGACTGTGAGCTTAACAGTCTCTACACACATTTTCGGAAGAAGTTTATTTTTAGCTTGGCTTGGAACCAAAAAATGTTTGCAAGACAGCCAAGACCTTGCACGTAAACACGTGGACCAATTTAAAGACGTGAACATTATTCTGTTCACAGGCGGTTTTGCGTCACAGACAAGATAACAGACACACTTTCAGTGGACTTTTGACACACACCGGTGTACACAAACACACACTGAGAGACTGACAGTGAGAGATTAAGGCCACTGGGTGAGGTCACGGGACGACCACAGTCTGCTGTGACTTCATCAACAAACAAGAGAGTACTTGAAATACTCTCACTGCAGTTTAAAAGTAACCAGGTGCTGTTCAAATGACTTAGCTCAAAATTCATTTAGTTTGTTGACTCAAAAAAAAAGTTAGTGAATCATCAATTTACAATAAGTGAGCTTATCAATCAAATCTTGCCCCCCAATGCAAAAACACAAGAATTGTCGTCAACATTGTTCCATTAACGTTCAGTAAACTGGATTAAAATAAAATCTGTCAACGAAGCAGGAAAGGAAACATGTACTGTACGTGACTGCTGTACTTCATCACTACATCATTCTCTCCCACCCTATGACTTTCAGTGGCACAGTGGTTGCTCATACAACTGTGGCTAATGTTGCTAGCATTTGTAATAATATTTTGAGGACGGTTAAAACAGGTTAGTAGGAAACTTTCTGCTTACAGTCCCTGATGCGATGAAAAGTTGTTGAAACAAAAGTTGAAAAAACAAAACGCTGTGTAAAAAAGCACTGGTCTTCTGCAGTTTAATGCTGGTGAGTGAGTTTCTGGTTCGTGCATATTTGCTACATACAGTTCCCATCATAAAAACTTGGACAATGCTTGTCTTAGAATAAGTATCTATCTTAAAATGTCTTTACTTGATTGTTCCGGGGTGCGGGGGCAAAAATTCACTTTTTCTTTCTTTCCAACTCTAAAAAGAGTACATTTATATTTGTTTACCAAGAACACAAATGTCCCAATATGTATATTCTCCAAGAAACAAGCTGGACAATGTGGTTTATATACGGACCTGTACATTAGGGAGACTAAACAACTGCTACACAGGCCCATGGCCCAACACAGGAGGACCAACTCCTCAGGACAGGACTCAGCTGTTCACACACACCTCAAGGACAAAACACACTCCTTTGAGGACAACAATGTACACATTCTACCAGGGAAGACAGATGGTTTGAGAGAGGGGTAAAAGACACCATTTCTGTCAACCTGGAAAAACCATCACTCAACAGAGGAGGTGGACTCAGACACAACCTATCACCCACATACAAAGCACTTTTAGAAACAATACCCAAAAGATTCTCCTCAGATTCTCCTCAGACACATGTGACTGAAACCTTTCTGATGAAGATCACAACGACCAATCAGACTCTTAACAACTGTTTACATTTTCACAGTTGACCCCAAGGCCCCACCAACAGGGTGGAGCTGAAGTAGCTTTATTCTTTCACACCCAGAGTATATATTTGCTGTACTCCCCTCCAGTTAGAACTGAAGAAGCCTCTTGGATGAGAGGTGAAATGTCTTCTTTGAGAAAATTCACGTCCAGTTGCCTAACAGAACTTTCAAACTTGACCGTGACCTGGATGACTGAGAATCTTCATAGACATGTATATTAATTTTGTGACAGCATCATAGAGACACCATAGACTGTTAATTCAATGGCCCACAACTTAACCCACTTGCATGACCGGATTTGACAACCTCGTCTTATCTAATAAGGAACAAGGCGTTTCATACATGTCCTGCCATGCCATTGTTTACTGACTGACTGACTGACTGACTGACTGACTGACTGACTGACTGACTGGGTGTGGAAGTGAAAGGGCACTTATCTCTACTGTGTCACACTTAATGACAATAGATCTTAACCCCTCCATTTTCATCTGTTGCTCAGCTTTATCCTTTAAGCGAGTTGTTTGAAGAAATTACCAACACATTTGTTTATTCTTGAGAATCACATTCTCGTCGTATCGCGGAGCTTTCACGTTGGTCTTTTATCAATTAGAGCAGTTTTCTAAGAGACTTCATGACATCTTGCCAGAGTCATTCTTAGAATTCACCAGTCATTTTTTAGTTTTGTGATGATAATTGTTTAAAACTGACATCAAATATCGCCTGTTTTCAAACTGTCGACCACATTTGTTCCCTGATCTTTCTTCAGCTCTCTTTAGTTTCTGTTCTATTCTTCTATTCTCTGTTCTTAGTCATTGTGTGCGAGTGATCACCTGGAAGTGAAAGATGCCGGCGTATCCCTGCTTGAAGCTCTGACCTTGAGGAACCACTCTATGGAGGAGGGCGGTGTTTAAGGTCAGGGAGGCGATGGCCGCCAGCAGCCAGCAGTCCCCTGTAGAAACATAACAACAACAGTCAGCACTCAACACGATGCCATCGTCACTGTGAGCTGATTTCACTCACAAACATGAAGGAACAAATTAGCTGCAGCAGTAACAGTGGAATGGTGTGTGTTTCAGCGCACACACAGACACACAACCATCAGCTCTCGTGGATGTCTGATTTATTGACTGCATGAGACGGTAAATGCTATATTTTTGGCAATCAGGTATCTCTGTGCAAACATGACCATGTATAAAAAATGTTGGCGTGTAACAAAAAA